CCCTTTTTAATAATCTAGGATTGACTGGACTCAATACACCCCCTCATGCCTTTGGTGCATGTATCAATGGTAGGTGACACATTTATAATGAATCTAGATGGCTCTGATATCATCTTAGAATAGTGAATTAAGCCTAACTCAATCCTACAAAACTGACTTATAAGGAGAGGATTGTTTTCTACTTATATACTATTTAATTGCCTAATCTCTAATTGATGTGGAATATGAGTTTTTTCCAATAAATTACGCCCAACTTATTTTACCTCAGCCTATAACCAAACATTTTGATACTAGGACTAGGAGGTTCACTACTCACTAGCCTGAAAAAGTGTTTGCCCTTTATCTTGTTGGATACTCGATCGTATCTACAACGAAAAGTTTGTTAAAATAATTATATATAGGTTTGTAGATTGACAACGTTAACACTCCATTTTTGTTTTTCTTAAGAAGCTGCGTCACATGACCATGTAGATGTAGTGGTGAATTCTAGCTGTATTTGCAGTGTTTAGTTTGTCGTCATTTAGTCTTCACCATATTCACGGACTCAATATATAGCAAATTCCACCTTACGAAATCCCACACCCCATCGCTTGTTTACAAGCATTATATGCTTACATCCAAAACTCACTTTCTATCTTCTCTCTATTCAACATTAAAATATACATACCCTAATGGTCTACCTTATGATTTGCAACTTATTGCAAATTTAGGAACACTTTAGGTGAGTTTGACTTATGCTCAGTTTAGCAAAAGTTGTGATTTAAGGTTGATAAATATTTGGTAATTATATCAATTGTCATGAATAATAAGTTAGACAAAAAGTTCAAATTATCGAATCGATAAAGATTTAAGTTATAATTGTTTAATGTAATTTTGGTATTAATAAGAATTTGAATTTTACATAATATAATAAGAATAGTTAGACATTTATTTGATTAACTTTTTTCATGTAAATCCTCCTCAACTTTTATTCAATATTAGAAATTATACAATTAATTCAATAGTCCTCAAATATATTTAAACTCTAATTTTTTAGATAAGAAACTCTAAATTGTTTAAGAAAAATTTAAAATTATTGATAATTTTCGTTAACCAACCTACATTATGGTCAAGGATCTAAAAATTGATTCGTAAAGCTTACCTCTATTCTTAGGAATAAGTGTTATCAATATTTTATCTAAATTGTTATTCTAAAATAATTTTTCAACCTCAATTAAAATTATAAAATAATGCATTGGCCAAAGTAAGTATTAAGTATAAAGTAAAAAAGCGATTAGATAAAAATAATGTATTGAATTAGAACATGGAAGATTACATGAGTGTAGTAGCTACATCAATCTCCAATAGTTGAGACTTAGCCACTAATAACTAAGGAGGTGTATTGAATTAGGATTTTAAAAGACTTTTTTAGTTGAAAAAAGTCCTGTGAATTTTTAAAAACTTTGCTGAATTTTCATGACTGTTAAGATTCTTAGGATTCCGCGAAACTTTAATCAAAGTTTTAATACATTCTGCAAGACTCATAAGTGACTAAGTATTCTCCAACTTGACTTGCTTCGAGTTGAGATTTAGTCACTTTGAACAAATTTTACTAGCTTAGTATGAGTCTTTTATGTGACTTGGAGTAATAATTTTCCTCCAACTTGTAGTTTCCAAATTATTTTTTTCCTGTGATATATCTCAACAAAGAAAAATATCAAAAATAAATATTTAAAAAATTAAATCGTAAAATAAATTAACAATTGACTTAGTGTTTTGTGACGAAAAAATAAGAATTTGAAACATAAAAATATATTAATAATTGTCTAATTTAAATATTTTTTTTCTTTTACATATTTAACAATTATCAAGAGATAATAAAAATTGATGACTTATTTTTTAATTCTTAATAAACAAAACATTTTTTTAAATAATAGTAAAAACAATAACAATAATAAAGTGTAGATCTTACTCTAACCTAAGAACTTAATAATAAAAAATTACAAATGCCAAATTTTCTTTTTGATATAATACGTTGTTTACCAAATCTAGTTTTGTTTCGTTGCATAACTATTGGTCTACTATAAAGGAAAGGAAAATACCATGACGTAACACTTTAAAAGCAATTTTTATATGCAAATACTGAGTGATGCTTTAAAAAAAAGTATGGTTGTATTCAATTAAACAAAACATTCAACTAATTTTTAACATTCCATCATAATTGAATTGATATTAATAATATATTGATAATTAAATATTATATAATATATAAGAAAAAAAATATTTTTTTCATGTTTTAAAATGGTATATAGTATTGTAAGTTTTAAAATATTCCTAGTTGACATTTAATACTTTTAAAAATATTTTTAAAATTTTATTAACGTGGCCAAAAAAACTTCAAGTAATATGAAGAATGAAGTAAGAGAAAAGTGAATGAAAGATAATATATTATGAGATGATTTTTGTTTTCATATCATAGGGAAATGAAAACTTATAATTATCTATCTATATTTTTATCTCACATTCACTCTATTTTTTTTTCTTCTTATTACATCATTTTTCATATTTGTCACTTTTTATCTTTCCTTTATCCATTCCATTTATTTCAGAATAGACGATAATCGAAACTCGAGTGAAATTACATACTCAATCCGCATCATGATTTCATAGAAATACAAATTATATTTAATATTTTTTTTATTCATCAAAATTATAATCATAAGACTAGAGTTTGAACCTAAAATTTTAAATGTGAATGTTCAATAATGTTTCTTTTAAAATAAAAGAAATATATACTAAAAAGATATATATAAAAAAAATCTGATTTTAAAGTCCCTTAAATAAACGTCAACCTACTAAGGAAGGGTGTCATTATCCTATATGTAGGTTTAGGTGTCATTATCTTATCGTTATATTTTGCTTTCCTTATTGATTAATCGGGAGCAATCTGTTATGGAGGCACGTAAATGTGAAAATCCACAGCTTTTCAACATAAAATATAATTTTCTCCGTAAATTACACCGATACACTTTTAGGTTTTATGAAATTATACAAACATTTTTTTTTAATCTTTTTAACATTTACGATAACTTTCTTTACGAGGATCACAGTTTAATGTTTTTCAAATAATTAAGAAAAATTAATTTAATCTTTAAAGATTGATAATATAATGTTTGTTACATAATTAAAAAAATTATTATAGAGATAATATATATATATTTGTGCAACCTCACGAAACTAAAGGAAATATCGTTTTAATTTACTCTGATACTAAAATGAGAAGAGGAATAGATTTTTATTTTTATTTTTATTGATTTGGATTGTTAAGTTTGCGGCCCAAAATACTAACGAATAGTTGACTTACGTGATACATGCAACAGGCTTCTGGATTTTAACTACGAAGAGAACTGATTGCTCCTAAAATCATATCATCGTTAAAAAGTTGAAAACCTACACTAATGATACAATAACTCCAATGATCCAATAATTTGAGAAATGCAAATTGCACCATTTCTAGAAACAGTCTTTGGTAAAGTGTTATTTCTTTTATTTGTATTTATATATTTGATTTTATCAACAGAGAATGATTCCCTTACGAAAACAAAATCTTTTACCAATAACTTGTATGAATTTCGAAATATATATAATTTCACTGAAATAACTATTCATAATAATAATTCGCATAAAATAATTGCATAACACAATATCAACGTAATTGCATGAAACATTAAACAAAATTGTAGAGAATGTGTTAATATTACATGATTGATACAATTGTAGAGAATGTGTTAATTCTTCGTTGTCTCCATATTTTAATAGTATCAGTATCTTCTTTGAGTAGATTAATAAATTAATGGTATGACTTATTGTTATTTCTATAATCAAGCTCTTTCTTGATTATGATTGGAAAGTCACCATTTTTCATGTTTATAGAGAAGCAAATTAAGGTGTGTTCTTATTAGCTGGCAAAGCATGGAGCTTCTTTTCTTTTCATTGTCTTGTTTTATCACTTTCGTTTACTGATCAAAGATATTATTTCCATTAAAATAATATTGTGAATACAGTCGGAGATTACATCGAATATATTATCTTCATGAAAAAAGATAGGATTTCTAATTAATGAATACACCACTAAATCACCATTTCTTCTCCTATATTGAATGGTGGGAATTATTTTTTAATCGTTAAGTGATTCCTATTGTCCATTATGTTTATACCTCATATTTTTCATGTTTAATATTAAATTTTAGAAATTTGAAATAAATCTCGATTGATAGATTTTTTTTGTCAATATAAAATTTAAATTTAAATCACCATTAAAATCAAATTCTAACTCACTTATGGTGTAATTTTTATGTACATATAATTACTTCTTATTTCTCTCTCTCTCTCTATATATATATAATAAAAATAAAAAAGCACCAGTACCCTCTTAAAATAAACGATACCAAAACCAAGACCTTAATTTTATACTTTCTTTTAACTATATTGGAATTATTTTTCCAACTCAAATAAGATGGTCATTCACGTAGTCTTAGACAATAAAAAAAATAAGAAAATAAACATAAGAAAAATAATAAATAAATAAAACTGTGGCTAGGAATTAGTTTCCCGGAAATACTATTCTTGGGAATATGATTAAAGCAAACGACAAAATTAGATATATACTCATTTAATTCGATAAATATAATCCTCCTTAAATGAGTTTTCATTGAAATAATTATAAATTTCCATTTTGGAATTAAATTGTTGCAAAATTCATCATGAAAATTTTAATCAACACGTGTTTTATTTTTTATTTATACTCTAGCGAGGTTATGGTCAAAAGTAATTTTGATCAAAAATAATGAATCATAAACTTATTTTACAAAAGTACATTTGATTTACTTTTCAGAAATTTGGGCTGAACGTAAATCCAAAGATTTTATTCGACTTTGGGTTGAGTTCTGCATCACTTGGAATACCAGATGAAAAAACATTACTATGATATGATACTGATTCCTATTCCTAATGAACACAAATGAAACCATCAAACACCATAAAATTAATCACTTGAGACAACAGAAAGTGCGACCCTGAGGTCATTAGAAGTTCCACATATATACATGCGGTAGGTTTCTATTTTTTGTTCACAAACACTAGTAGTAGTATGAGTTGCATAGTGATTACCATTCGCTCCATCATCATGCATTGAAAATATAATTTCCCTTTTCATTGGTTCATGACCATTGATAAGATTTCCCATACTCAAAACCTTTCTCCAAGATTGGTTTGCAGTGGGTTGAACAAACATATTTGACACCACTTCTCTCTCCTGATTCCACACTTCTTGTTTCTTGTCAAACCCCTAAGCATAAAGATAGAGAAACGAACACATGTCAGTCCATGCAAAAGAATATTTTCTGCATAATATATACTACCCAAATCAACAGGGTATTTCAAGACATTTCACCTTTTTAAGAGCGTCTTCTGTCAAGCCTATTCCCATTCTTGGAATATAGAAGTTGTAGAAATCACTGAAAATTTCTCTGGCAAGGCGTGGTGCTTGTAAAAACTTGCGATGAAGAGAAGCTGCAAGTGTCAGTAATTTCTCAACGTGTTGGAAAACAACACACAGTCGTCTTAAGTCTTCAATAGTCTCACTGTCAGCAGATAAACGATTTTCTGCAACAAAATGGAACCGGGTAAAATATAATTTTTTTCCACAAAAGAGTTAGACTAAAGAATATGTATACCTTGCAAGGGCCTCAAAGCAGGTGCCATGGTAAGGTATAGTTGTTGCATCATAGTCTCCATCTGTTTTAGCTCTCCATAACTGGTTTGAGTTAAGGTGTCGGCTGCTGCTCTGAAGGCAGTACACACCATTTGCTCAAGCAACTGATGTGGTTGTAAAGTTTCCAGATAATGAAGAACCTAGAAATTTAAGGATAAAAAAAGGTTTAAATATATTTTTTCTCTCTAAATATGACACTCATTTTTAATCTGATCTCGACAAAAAGATTTAAATTAGTTCTTGTATGTACAGTCATTTTATAATTCATCTCCAGTATTTGTTACTATTATGACACCAAGAGCAAAGTGTTCATGGATTAATTTAATGTTTAGGGTTTAAGGTTTATGATTCGACAAGAATCTTAACGGAAACTTTTAATCTTCATAAAAAGGTTCATTTTGGAATAGCATATCCAAATAAGGAAATTAAAGTTTGAAGAGATTCACATGAGGAACCTACAATTTGAGGAGAAGGAACACCATTTTCTTTATCCTCCTCATCACTACCCTTATTCTTACGGTTTCAGGAGAAGGAACATCATTTTCATTAACCTCCGCCTCATTACCACCATTACCTCATGATTTTAAGGAGAAGGGACATCATTTTCATTAACCTCCTCCTTGTCACCGCCATTGCCTCATGGTTTTAAGAAAAAGAACATCATTTTCATCATCCTCCTCCTCATCATCACCATTCCGTATAATATTAAGTTATTACAAGTAACGATTTCATATAAAATAACAACAATTATTAAGCACCGAATTGCTTACTTGCACCAATGTTTATCTCTTGAGAAGTTGAAAAACATGGAGGAGAAAGAACATAACTTTCACAATGATCCTACTCTTCGTCATCACCATTACCTTCAAAATTAAATTTTCACCAACAATTATTTCATATAAAAAATATAATAAATTAATAAGTCATGAATAAGGAGTTACAAGTTAATAGAAAATATTGTTAACAATTGTTTACTTGCAACATGCTAAAGTTGAGGTTGATGCTTGAAAGTATATGGTCCTGCAATAACTATGGTAACCAAGCACTCTTGGTTTCTATTTTTGTTTTCCAAGGGAGGAAGTTTAGGATATGGCCTACATACAACCTGGAAAAAATGAATTTCAATATCAATAATTGAAAATTAAAAAATTTATTGAAAAACAAATGTTACCTGATCTTGCTCTAATGTAGATAAAAATTACGCGAAATCTTTAAACGTTTATTTATGTTTGTCATAAAAAAATGTGGTCTTGTCCAATAATTTTAATAAACTCCAACATCATTAAAAATAGTTGCGGAATAAGGAGGGCATATATTTTCCACAACAATTTCCAATGATTTCAGAGCTCATTAAGGTTATTGGACAAGACCGCATGTTTGATGACAAACATAAATAAAAGCTTGAAGATTTCACAGAATTTTTATCTACATTGAAGCATGATCAAGTAACATTTATTTTTCTTTAATAAATTTATTAATTTTCAACTATTGATATTGAATTCATTTTTTCCTTGTATGCAAGTCATTTGCTGAACTTCCACCCTTAGAAAACAATAATGGAAACCAAGAGTGGTCATATGCTTTCATGCATCTACCTTATCTAACTTCTCATTAATTCCTAGATAAGGAGCTGGACATAGACTGTATTAAGAAATTTGTGGTCAATTTAACTCCCAATAAAAAACAAGAAATTTTTTGATCTCAAATCATATAAAACCATGTGGAGTTTAAGGTGGGAGCAATTGATCATAAATCCATAGCACCCTCAGTCTCAAGCTGTTGCAAGTAAACAACTCCTAAAAATATTTTCGTTAAATTTATAATTCCTTATTCATCACTTATTAATTTATTATAATTTTATTTTATATGAAATCATTACGATTGATAATTTAATTTTGCAGGTAATGATGATGAGGAAGAGGAGCAACTGATCACAAATCAACTGCACCTCAACATCAACCTGTTGCAGGTAAACAAGTGTTAACAATGTTATCTATTAATTCCTTATTTATCAAATAATTTATTATAACTTTATTTTATATGAAATGATTACTAGTGATAATTTTATTTTGTAGGTATCGTGATGTGGAGGAGGATTATTATGAAATTTTTGTTATTTTTTTCCATGTCTTCTAGCTTCTCAAGAGACAAACATTGGTGTAGGTAAACAATTCGGTTCTTAATAATTGTTATTTTTATAATAAAAAAAATGAAACCATTATTAGTGATAATTTAATTTAATTTTATAAATAAAAAAAAATAGATGATGATTATGATCCTTTTCCTGAAACTGTAGGAGGTAAGGGTGCCGACGAGGAGAAGGAGGATAATGAAAATGATGTTCCTTCTCCTCAAATTGTAGGTTCCTCATCTGAATCTCCTCAAATTGTAAATTCTTCATCTAGGTTGTTATTCTAAAAAGAACCCTTTCAAGAAGATTACAGGTCCTTGCTAAGCTTGTTGCCAATTTTTCTATGGGAGCAAACAACAAGACACTACCAAACAACATGCACAAGAAAAAAGGAGTGAATTAATGCTTTTTCTCATGTATAATTTTTTTTTCTGATAGTCTTTTTCTTTCATTTATAAATGTTTTTCTGATGCAATTTTTTCGTCAAAAAATGATCTTTGACAAAAAAAACTTCAAAATCTACGGAAACTAAAAATATGCATGAAAGTAGTTATGTTTTAGCAGCAATCAAACTAGACTTGGATGTAAATAACCAAGCAGGCTCTGACTTGCTAAGTTCACTTGTCAACTTTCCCAAAAAATCCCCACTGCATATTGTGAGTCACCCCCAACAATTTATGTTATGATGCAAAATAATATTAAAAAAAATAGTAACTAAAGCAACACAATATTCAATCTAACTACAAACAAGAGGAAAGCAAAGTTTGTAACCTCAGCCATAGACTCTATTTGATGCTCACTTCCAATACAATCTTGATAATCTTCATTCATTTCGTACTTCTTCTCAATGCATGCTGCAAGCTGAATAGCAAAGCGAAAAACACAATCACCACCTTAGACATTTCACCATGTCTTCTATATCATACAAACACCAAAATATCCAAGCTCAATAAAACATTTCTTTAATTTTGATCTTAAAACAACATCAAGGGGTAAAATATAACTTCAATATGGTCACATCCCCAGGAATAGAAGTATCAAAAAGGGAAGTTAAGCATACACATTATCTTTAAGCTTTAAATAAAAAATTTCAGTGACTAAATTTTCTGCACTTAATACATCATAATTAATGATGATAAAAGAACAACTAATAAGTTGATTATAAAATGTAAATATGTTATTCATCATGATAAAAGAAATGCACTACAGTTAAAGAGAACAAGTAAATACAAAGTGAGGAAACAGTAAGTTAAGAATGTTCTAAAAAACTAACAATCAACATTTAAAATAAAGTTTCAAATTAGAATACATATAAAGTAAACAAGGCTATGTAGAATATACTTCAACAAAGGTCCTTTGAAGATAATTAAATAAAAATTACCATCTGAAGTTTCTGGTTAATCAAACAAGTGGAAAGGTCAATTGAACCATTTGCTGGCATCCGAGGGATTAATTGTGACTCTTCCCAACACCACCTAACCTCTCGAACAAACTCAATCCATAGGACAGCAATAGCTGATGTACAGACCACAATGAAGTCATGCAGTTGAAAATATACCGTACATGCAAAATATCTCAAAATCAATTCCATCTATGTGACCAGAATTGCTAATCTGCTTGGTTATGCACCGAAAAACCCTCACTTTGGTACATACCTCGTATGTTGAAGTCACCAAACCAAAGACAACGTAAACAAAATTGTGCAAAAAGAGATTCAAGAGGTGCGCCTTTTATAGCTCTTGAAGTCTTATGTCCACCATAAGCAGAATCTGTATGCTGTATTCCTGTAGACATTATTTAAGCAATTATAATAAAATAATTATAGTAATCTACTTTGAATTTTAACATGCAAATGACCCCGCATGCCATGTTAGGCATCTCAAGGATAATTGGAATATGCAGTAATCAGGTAAAACTTGAAAGCACAAAATAAGTTTTACATGTGGTAAATCAAAAATAGGATGAAAAAAAAACAAGGAAAATCTTTAAAAAAAAGTGTGCAACAGAAAGAATTTTTTCTAATTTCGTATGATTCTTTTCAAGAACTTGAGCACTTGTGATTGTTCTTAATTGCTTCATAATGTATTTATATAATCCTTTCATGTATGTCTTTGTTGCAATGACTTGGATAGAACAAAGCAAGTAGAAACCTATGTCCCTATGCCACAAAGTTAATAAAGTAGCATTGAAACAATAACAGCCAATTTCATTCTGCATGCTACTATCCAGACATAAAGTTTTTGTAAACCTTCCTTATACTATTCAGTACATCTCCTTTTTATTTACAAGAAAACACTCTTACCGTCTTAATGATATTTCTTAACAGGAGACAAGTTAACTACATTAAACTCTAGTAAATAAGATTGTAGTAAATATCCAGTCCTTTATTGTTCAAGAGAAATCGAAAATCAGTAAGTAATCATTGGAGAATTTCACATGCCTAATGAAAGCTACTTTTTGTCCACTCTCCCAAGTATAATTTGGGCTTGAAACTGATATTAAACATGAAAATGTAGGCCAGTTCTACTGTGCTCCCAGGGATGCCTTGTTGGCAAATTTATGGACCATCTATTGGATACAGATGCAGATTTTATAAACTGCCAACAATTCAAGGTATCATGACAATGGTATGCTGAAGCATTCACAGGAAATGGAAAACGAAATATAGAGGAAGGGGGCAGAACTAAGTGCCTTCTTGAAATAGTTCTTTCAGCACTCGATCACTAACAGTTGGAGGTATAACCATTGAGGATTTCAAATTCTCAGAACCTGAGTTATCATCTGCTGCAAACCAGAATATGGAAAATGGTGAACCATTGTATCAAACTTTAATAGCATGATCAACTATTAAGTACAAAACCTGAGGAATAGTCAAATATACCATTAAATACAACAAAACGAATTCACACCTGAAACAAAATTTTCCATAAATTGGGCCTCAAACGACAGTTTCAATGCATCAACTAGAAGATGCAACTGGGATGCAAATCCAATTTGATTCCATTTGGAATCTTCAAACCTATATGAATGAACAAAATATAATAATTAATAGAAAATTAAATTGTAAAACTTATTTATATTCCATTTGCTTCAACTGTTATTTCAACAAAAAAAAACACCTCTAAAATATTTTAGTGTGCTTGTTTAAACTCCAAAAATTAGAATCAGAAAAAATTAGATTTCTGATTATTTAGATAAGTTACTTTGAGCAGCTTCAAAAAATAAGTTGTAATTAACTAATTATAACGACATTTGAAATAAAACTGTTTTTCTAATTGTAACTCAACAAAAAATAGCTTGTACTTGATACTTCACATAAAATTTCTTAGAGTAAATCACTTTCTTGTACATTCTTAAATATTTTTTTAAAAGCTTAAACAAACAAGCCAGGATCAGAAACTGATCAATGTTTAATTATGAACTTTATTAGTAATTGCATGAAAAAATATTATAAATGATATATGTTTTGCCAGTTGCCACTACCCCAACATTCTGGTTGTTTTTTACTAAATCATACAATTCTGCATGGAACCATATGAAATGCTTTAAAAAGAGAAAAATAAAATCCATGGATGGTAACTATTAACTTGTATAACTAAAAAACAAAAACATATATAAAACCAGAACCTATCTATTCATTAAGTTCATAAACATTGTTTTGTTTAGTATACAGGAAAATGAAAATTCTGAGCAGTTGTATTTGTAATTCAACCAAGTTTATAATGATGAAGCACAAACAGAATATAGTGTATAGTTGTAATCTCTCTTATTTAGTTAGAACTGGATCAGATTTAAGTGAAGTAGAAAAGAAAAGAATGAGAATTTTATTGATTGTACTCTGGTCTCAAGATTACAATCAGGGAGGTTACAGCTGAGACAGAAGAAAAAAGAATAAGTATACAGAAAGAAAAATCTCCATCCAGGAAATTTGAATGACCTGACTCTCCCTCTAGTTTATTCTCAACAACTGAGCAGACTCCTCTCTCTTTCTCCTATTTTGTCAAAACCTCTCAACTATCTGACAGAATCCTAGCTGTCATTCAATTGTCAACAGTATTAACTAACTCCTCTAATTCCCTCTGCTCCCGTTTATTCTTTCCAACATACACCCTCTTAATTGGGGTACGCTATCATATTATTATTTAATATATCCTTAGCAAGAAGCAACGTTACTAGCATAATCAGCACCCATAGCGAGTACTTGTCACAAGAACTTTGGTTATCCATATTTCAATAAATAAATAAATAAATCGTACAGCTTTAGAGCACAAATTGGAGAGATCAACCACTTCTCAGCTTCATAAGGTGAAGCATTTTCGAGTTCAGCCATTTCCGTAGAACTTTCAACCATCTTCTCTGACCATATTGTAATCAGTTCAAAACCTGCATGTAGCCTATCCATATATTAAAAATTAAATAGAAAGTGGCATTCATATTCCACAATAGAGAATGACATGGAAAAAATGAAGCTTGGAAAGCTTTTACTAAATATAACCAAAATCAAATTTCATTAAGACAAATATAAGTAAATGATACTGAGGCAAAGGTCCTCCTAGGGAGATAGACATGCATAAAGAATAAAGTAGATATAAATAAGGGCTTCAAATTGATAACAGGTATAGTTGAAATGGTAAGAATAATCGTGAGAAACTTACGTAGGTGGTGAAATTTTCATGTAACACATGCAAATGCACATTTTCATGAAGGCTACTCTGTTGGAAAAAACTAAAAGCATTTAATGTATCTGAAATTCGTATGTAAATAACCCAGTATTTGCAATTGCCATCATTTGCAACTTATAACCCATCACACCTGGGCTTCTAAGAGACTAAGACAGCCAGTGTAATCAAAGACATTAAAAGGTAAGGGCACTGAAGCAATATGATAGAAGGAGTCTTGGTACTTTAGCAAAGTCTCTGAGGATAACGATAAAATAATTTTTGAAAGAGAAATCTAACTTGTTAACTATGATGCAAAAGGGGTCAAATAGTCAGAATGCTAAAAGAATAACTAGTTGTCAGTCTTTGGGACTCTTAGCAGCTAACAGCCTAAAGATTTGTAAATTAAACATCATAACCAGTTTTTTAATGAAAAATGGCATAATCTATGAAAATCAATGCAAAATGTCAAATATTTTACTCATCTTTAAATGTTACTGGCTTCTTGAAAGACGCATGCACTTTGATGTCTCTGGCCTCCAAGTGTTAAAATGTCCTAGCACATTAAGGGGACCTTTCACGTTTAACTATCTCAGCTTCTATATGTTGTCGAGTGCCACAAATATTCCAAAACATGTTTCAGTCTTAAAACAAGTTGTATCCAACAAAAGAATCCATGCAATGACGTAAAACTACTTCTACCAACCTGTTACCAATTTCTAGGATTTACCTTTAACAGGATCTTCTGCAGAATACCACTCACTCCAAGGGCAATCTTTATCCCACAGTGTTTCACTGGATGTTTCACTAGTAAGAATTTCTTCACATTTTGTATTTTGAGTATCAATGCCTTTGATATTGTTGTCATCATAAGGAAGCATTCTGTATGTTAGCTTCATTGTAAGTTGCACTTTAAAAAGATGAGTAGAAAGATCCAATGTGGTGTAGGCCTTCAGTTTCAAATGGAAATTAATTACTATAAGGGAAAAGTTTAAGTGGCACTGCTGATTAGAAGTCAGTCAGCGTAGAACTTTTGAATTCAATGTATATTACTGGAGAAACTGATTATTAAGTGTGCACAGAGTTCATTCAACATATTGAGGCTAAATAAGCCAGAAAATCGAAAGGAAAAAAGAGAACATATCAAATAAATAACTTCCTCCAGCAAAGCACACAATAAACCCTCAGTTCTATCATGCAAATATTAACATAAAATAAAACATTAGTTTTGAAAAGTTGTAGCATTGCCAACTATAAATATCAACTCTTGGATAATGAATATTTCTTCATTTATTTATGTATCCATTTATCATATTTTATCTCAAGTTACCCACCTCCTGTCACAAGCCACCCTTGGGAAAGGGAGTTTGATTAATTGGTAACTGTTACAAGTCCCAGATTGAGTAGGGGGGGAAAAATCAATGTGATATTTAAGTCGTAAGGCTCTCTTATGTCTTACCTACTGAACTAGTCTTTTAGGTTGAGCTCTCCTAAAGTGTATATATCATAAAAATTGAGCAAAAATTAAATAAACATTTAATTTAACAACTTGGGCAAGGAACTCACAAACTTAGATACGAACAACTCATACAGGCCCTCCAAATGCATGAGTCTTATTGGAACCTGACTACCAATCTGATCTGCTTCGAACCTTCTATTAAATACAGTACCCGTGTTCTGAATTCCAATATATGCTTTCCGTGCAGGACCATTAACTGGAACAAATGCTGGCCATAAACTACATAACTAACAATATAAGAAACTACTCTATGCTTTAATTATCCAGTTTTTAATAAGCTGGATATTTCAAAGTCTTTTAATTTAAATATTAGGAAACCATAACAGATCTTTATTCAATAAAATATTACTATCCAATAAAAATGAAAGAGGCATTAAATAAACCCAAATATCACAACGAGTACCCTTTAGTAACTTATTGCAATCAAACATAAAATGCAAATGATATATAGATGTATTAGAAAATGGAAATAGGGAAACTATAATATATCTTATCAATGAATACAATAAGATCAACAAAAAATTAACTAAAATAAAATAAGAGTTTAGAGAAACTTGGGTTGAAACACTATCTTTAGAAAGAAAATGTCTCACTGCACTGGTGGATTAATTTGATACATTCCTCTCTCAAAATACAACCCATCAGATTGATCATGTACAACAGCAATATATCACAATGTGTTATGTATATTTTCTTAAAAGAGTGGAGATGAATTTTCAGTGTAAACGATACTGTATTGAGTATCTTTCTCAATGTGTTTCTCCTAGTAAAAAATAGAGATATTTATAACTCCTACAAACCACAAAAAGTTCAAGTAACCAAAGAATAAAACCGTTATTTACTCTTCCAGGTGCAGAAAATAAAAGCCTTGTGGCATCAATATCATAAAAAGATCTTTTAAAATACAAATCCATTAAAAGAATAATTAAATAAATATTAAATAAAAACTGAATAAAGAAACATTTAATTTAAATTTTAAATTATAAAATATTTTCCAACAATATGTGCCCCTGCACATAAGTTATTGTAAATTTCCACAACGTACTAAACATTAAATAACAAGGAACAATATTTACCTTGAACAATTTGACAAAGCAATTGCCACAGCACTCAGCAGCTTGCTTGCCTCTGGTGCATCAAGAACCGCACTGCTTGCACTTTGAGGAGCAATCACCTAGTGATGTGCAAGACAAGACCTGATTCCTTAGTGAAAGCATTAAATTTTCAATTAAAGGCTAGGTAAAACATCATAGCATACCAAAAATTCCTTTACGCCAAAACATAACTGCAGATCATGAAAATCAGACCTCCAGTTTGCAGGTTTGCCTGAGTCATCCAGAAGACGAGATAGATTAAAGTTACTAAAACCCATGCTCAACTAATTAAACATTTAGGGCAACCCAGAGCACAAGGTTTGCACCTAGGGGATCTGGGGAGGGTAAATCAAATGTACACAGCCTTACCCAACAAGCAGAGTGGCTGTTTCCATGATTTAAACCCATAACATCAATAATACAAAACAACAACCTTACCGCTGTGCCAACTCCAACTGCCAAGGTTCACCATACTCAATCTATCAAACATTTACAGCCAAAAGAAGTCCAAATTACCATTATTGTTGGTCTCAAAATAGTACTCCATGCAGTAACTTTTCGTGGCATACTTCAATTCAGATTTGACCTTGTATGAATTTTTGGAATACCCTAATGGAACTGCAACTTTTGCCTAGATCGAAACCAAGTTTATTCAGGTAAAAACAAATGGCATAAAAATTTGAAAAGGGATCATGAAAGTTTGAAACTAAGCAAGCTTACCGATAACCTCTTTGGACCATCAGCCATCCAAATTCGACACACTGCCTCTATTTCAGAAATAAACCTACTTAACACATAAATAAGTAATTTAACGGTATCTTCATAACACGGTTTCTCTCACAATTCATTCGATATGCATAAGAGGAAATGGAATAAGGAGAAGGCAAACCTTTCCCATGAAGAAGCAATAGTGAAATCATCAAAATGCTGCCAGGAAAGGAAGTAAATTGGCATTAGCTCTAACTGTTTAGTTACACTCAAACAACAAAAATCCCGAAAATCAATTAACCAATGCAAAAGGTAAGAGATAAGTACCAGTTCTTCTGCGACGCCGTCATCAGCATCAGGTTCAACATTGCTGGAGGTGGAGGACGATGCCATGAAAGATACACGATGAGATTGTAAAATCCGGAACTAAATTTATAAATGCAAACAGTAGTCGTAAAGTCTTATCTTAGACAAAGAGTCCAATGAGTGCTCCAGTTAATTAGTCATTAATTGTCGGACCAACATTTATAAAGTGACTAAATCAAGTAACATATAAGGTTGAGGGTCAGAATTTTTAAGTATTGAAAGGGATATGGTATATTGAAAGTAGGCATGGTAATGAGACAGATTGGGTATGGATTTTATGATACACATCTCTGTTTCTACGGTTTAAATTCATTCCTGTCCCATTGGATAAGTAATTTTTATCTTATTTTCAGTTTCATTAGATATTAAATATACTCGTACTCGTATTTGTCAAAAATTAATTAATTTTGTTTTGCAAAAAAATATACATAATATTTTTAACTTATCTTTCTATTATATTATAATTATAATTGAGTTGTTTGTCTATCTCATATTTTAATCAAGAAATTTCTTAATAATTAAACAACTATAAATGTTTTACATCATAATAAACAATCACACATAATTAAATATTAAAATTATTTAAAACAATCAAATCGAATATGAGTATTAAACCAGAGATGAGGACGGAAACGAGGTGAGTAAGTATATATCTGTCCTCGATTTAATATTTCGAGTTTTACCCAGTTTGACCGTCAAAGTTGAGCGGGTTCAAATATTACCTGCAAATACATGTTTATTTGTCATCCCTAATTGAAAGGTAGTCAGTGAGCTAATTACATAAGATGCTTAGTTATGCATGTTAACATCGTGGTAGGCTTACACCCAAGTTATTCTACCTTAACATAATTATTAGACTTTTCTAGTTTAAGTGACGATATTTAAGAAATCATGTTTTTGTAAATTTTTATCCAAATCGATTATTGATCTAGCAAGTGTAAAAAGATCGTGTTGGTTTGATAGAATCAAACTTAGAGTACCCATATTTATTATAAGAGATCTTTGTAATTGAATGTGTGATGACACATGTAGATGAGGTGTTATGTATATTATGTGTTAATTGTGGTGTGATTTATATGCTATGTCGATTTGTTGTTAAATGACATAGTCATGGTGTAAGTTGATATGTTATTATATGGTTGAGTTGTTTACCTTTTAAGGTTGTTGAATGACATGTTGATGTGTTATTTTTATGTTGTTGAGTTGTAAACTATGAGGTGTTACGTAGTGTGATTTACATGTTGGTGTTTGTACTATAGTTGTTTTACTTCTATACTTGTTATATGTTTATTCTTTTGAATACTAATTTACTCTTGTATGTTTTCTTGTGGTTAAATTGCAATGATCATATTTATATGGAAGCATGACAAAAATAGGATAGAGTTGAAAATATTTTTGGAGGCCGTCGAAGGATGGCATGTTATTTTGTTGGGTTACTCTGATGTAACCAATTGATTTAGTTGTTATTTAATAGACAACCTAAGTTTATATTTCAATTTTTGGATTACTGTAAATATATATTTATATAGGATGATGTAGTTCCACATAGGAATATATTTACATATTTGATTTATTTATTCTTATACATATATTATTGCATGTATTTTTAGGAACCATTTGCATGTAACTTTAGGTAGATGTTTTATCTTTTCGTTGCGAGTAATTAAACCATTAAGTATAGAAATTATAACGGATTATTATAATATATATATAAATATTATGTTTGAATATATAAATTATATTTAAAATTTGTATGAATAGATATTTTTAAACATATAAATTGTATTTTTTTACAACAACATATAAATTATATTTTAGATTTATGATAAATAATTTATATAGTAGTCTAATATTATTTTTATCAATTGATAATTTATTTTAAAAAAATTAAAATTTAATTTATAAACAATTTTAATAAATAAAAATCAAATTAAATGACAAGTTAAAAAAATTCTTAAAAACCTCTCTTGTCAAATAAAAACTCTTAAAAATGCTCTCTTATATATAGATGATCATATTTAATATATAGAAAGTTGATTATAAATTTTAGTTATATATAATAAATATTTTGATTAGGATTCAATACTCAAACCAAACTCATTAATTTTTTAACTTTCAAATTCAAAATATTTTGGTGATCCAAACCAATCCAAGTTCTCTTTAATTGAATTAATTGGGATTCATAAGATCATCGATTTCATTTGGATCCATGCCGTTTTAACCACTCCTACTTTTAATTTTTTTTTTTACATCCCTACTTTTGACTTAGTTATTATAGAAGTTAAAAAAATTATAATAATAGTAACTTATGATTAGATAAAAGTATGAAGACCTAAGTTCAATTCTCATTACCACTATCTTTTTAATCTTTTTTATTTTTACCAAAAAAGATATAAAAAAAATTATAAAAAAATAATTAATAAATAAACAGTTTTTGGTGTAACAAATAGTATTATACATATATTATTTATCGTTAAATTATTGCTAAATATTTGGAAGTTTAAATTTAGTTTAAAATTTTAATTTTATGACCTTGATACGGAAAAATGTATCAATTGAAATTAAAGAATCTTGTCTAAACGAGATTACGTCCATACTCCATACTCTATTAATCAATCAAAATGTGACAACATTTAGGGTGGAATAACTAGTAAAATCAAGACCAAAGTAAAGTTAAAATTACTTTATTATAGTTAACGAGTCAACTCTTTTATAGATTTACCGGTTTTATAGCTTTGGCCCACTTTTCTACATATAACTCTTAATTTCATGGTTAAATACTCAAATATTCAATTCCTCGTGAACTATTTGGAAATTCTTAAATAGATCTTTAAATATATAAAAAATATATTAAAAAAAACAACTTAATTGAGTCCTTGATTCTGTATTTTTTTTAATTGAATATCTTTAATTTTTAAAACCATCGTAAATTGTCATTTTATGATATTTTTAAAACTACTACAAACTATTTATAAGTGTACGAGTGTGTATGGCAAAACATAATCATCATATATAAAGTATTATGGTGAATTTAATGGTGGAGATTGAAGTAGTATGTCTATAATTTTGTGTATGAATTATACTGTTATTATTATGATTTTTATTGATAAAAAAAATGGTTAAATAGAACTCTTGGTATTTTTATAATATTAAATTTGATCCCTTTATTTTTAATTATGTGATTTTATAAAATTCACAATTTTATCTCTTAATTGAATGTTTATTCGTTGATTATTAAAATTATAATTTAGTTGCAATTTAACATTAATTGAATGACATAATAATTAATATTTAATAGTATTTAGACTAAATTTCACTTTTAATTGTCATTTTTATCTCATAAACATGGTAAAATGAAATAAAAAGTGATAAAAATGAGAATTAAAAAAGCAAATTAACCTAAAAGTGATTAAATATTAATCACCTAGTTATCTATCCAATGCTATGTCACAATTTTAATGATCAATGAATGAACAATCAATGAAGAGAATAAAATTACAAATTTTATAAAGTTGAGGAGCTAAAATTATGAATTTAAAAATAAAGGAACAAAAACTACGAATTTAATATTACAAGGGACTAAAAGTATAATTAAACAAAAATAAAATCTAATCCTAATTTATGCTCTCACCAAATATTCCCCTTCCACCTGTGGATGCATGCATGTGCATTTTAAAAATATGTTGGGAAAAAATTTTAGGTATAATTTTTTAGGTGTAGTTATTTTTGTTCTTCAATCAAATATGAGTTTTAGTTATGTAGTTACATTTAATATAAATTTCATTAATATATATTTATGCATATCATTGAGATAAAACTTCAATTATGATTGAAGAACAATATTAAGAGTATTTAAAAGATTTTTTCATAGATAAAACAAGTTATTTCAAGGATTCTTTTATTTTAATATTAAAATAGGATGATTATAAAATGATAGATATATCTTTTATTTATGGATAAAGGTCCTCTAAAATGTGAAATATAGTTTAGATAAATTTGAAAATTAATGGTTATGATTGCAATATAATACACACCTGTAGAGATACACAAGCAACGATATTAAAATCTAAATTGTTAATTTTCTAATTAATATTGTTCTCCACTTTATGTATCGTGTTTAACTTGTAAAAATCAACCCCATACCTAGAGGTGAGTGAAATCCTTCTTTTTAACTAACTATTCAAAAATTGTGAGTAATCAAGTTTATCCCATTTTCTTCTAATCCAGGGATCAAAATCTTCTGTCTCCAACTCCTATCCCCAAAATCTTGTCCCTCCAATCACAAAATGCCATATCATTATTTTTATTTTTAATTTTGATTTTTAAAAAATGTAACCGGTTATGATTTGTTGTTGGAACGTTGGGCAATTCAACCCCTGTTTTTATCTACTTTAAAGACACTTCTTGGGGTGTTCATGTCCTCAGGTCTTTCCTAACAAGCGTGGTCCTTCACTACATCTCCCACCTGCAAAAACACGCACCCATTAATAACACCTCCGTAGTAATATATCTTTTAACATAACACAAGAATGACAGAAGAAATGGAACTATTAGGAAGAGAATAGTAACTTGAAAATAAATGGTGTTTGGATGTATAGTAGCTTTGAGAAGATAATTTGTAGCCCAACGAATGACTTCTCTTGCATTCTACAACTCACCCTTCATGACCCACCAAACTCAACAACACTCCACGAAAGCATGGTGGTGGTGAAGGCCATGGGAAAAAGTCATGTTGAATTGCCTAACGTTCCAACAACAAATCATAACCGGTTATAATTTTTAAAAATCAAAATTAAAGTTAAAAGTAATGATGTTGCATTTTGTGATTGGAGGGAATGGATTTGGGGACAGGAGTTGGAGACAGAGGATTTTGATCCCTAATACAGCCCAACGAAATAAACCTTTTGCTAATTAGCTGGATAAGATTAATTAATTAAATTTATATTTTGCAAACTTTCTTCTTGTCTTGGTGGCTAAACAAAGCCGAAGGTAGTACCATAATTTGCCCTAACACATTATTTCCATAGAGAATATTACACGAATAATTTAAATAATAACTTAATTAGTAACTGGACGTTGCCATTTTACTACTTAGTACCGATAAGGCTCAAATTGATCACAATCAATAACCCTCCAACTGTAAGAATATTTCACAAAAAATAATAAGCTGCTTCCAAAAGGAAAATAATTCCAATAATAAGAATGAAATAATACACTCATGCACATTACTAATTTTATTTGGTTAGAAGTTTATATGTTATGACTCAACCAAATCGTAATCTAGTGATCTTAAAGGAGAATCCAAACTCGCTATAAAATTTAGACTTCAGAGTGCCATCAGTGTGACTCTGCCGCAAGACCCTTGAACCATCTCCTCCTACAGGCGAAGACAATGCTATTCGAAATTTTGAATATACACCAATAACAGGCATAAAACAATTCAACCGGATATTTGTGTGCTAAATATTATAATGATTCAATAACAAGTGAGTTCTAATACATGTAGGCATTTCGCCTTCCAAATCAAAATTGATATAAAAAATAAACAAAAATACACAACATATGTGTGATAATTGAGCCAAACAAGATCTTCCTTTGGAAAAACTATCCAAGTCTTTCATCCATCACTTCTCTTCTATTAGGCATCAACACCTCCACAATCTTTGGAGTGACATAAGTTAGGTAGCCACCACTGACAACTCTAATTCCTGTACAATAAATACATCCGGTAAGATCAGAGCTTTGCATGCATAATGCCCCATAAAACATACAATGCTATGGAAGGAAAATCATCAATTAATTATGTTTAGAAAATGTCCATAGTAATCAAATTCCGAGTGAAAGACAATGGTAGCAATTCCCTACCCTTGTGCCAGATAGATCATTACATGATCCATAGTTCTCCAAAAACAAAAAATAATCCCCTCAGCCAAATCTGTTTATTGATAAAATAACACAAGTTTGAACTAACCTTCTTCTCTTTGCTGGAGCAATCAATCCTCTTTTTTCTATGCTTTTATATCGATCCTTTATAAGAGTACAGCAACCCTAAATACGAACCAACAAAGGTTGGAAATTTTACTTGCGTGTTTACTAACAGAGACACCAAAATAATCAAAAGCTAACTAGAGAACACAAGCCTACCTTGAGCTTCCTAATGGACCCAGTTATCTCTTCACTTAATAAAACTTGAACAGGTGCGGGCTCAAACCTGTTGTTATGAGAAAGAAATCGATGAACAAACATTCATAAATAATCATTACTGTGAACTTTTATTTGAAGGTACATATAACAGAGAAGCTCCACAAAAACTTAATTGGAAAATTTCAATTGTATAAAACTAAAAATGGAATGCTAATGATTTACTAATCCGTTAAAAAATGCTAAACAACTTCCCAGTCCCCTTAATTATGGCAAAGGAAGTAAATTAAAATATACACAAAAAAAACTGCTTACTTGTGCTTTCCTAAGCGTGGTGGGCGTGCCTTTAACATCTCCTGTTTAGCAACTTGTCGCCTAAGATGTCTTTTCTTCTTTTCCTCGTCCTCTTGCTCAATTTCCTGAACAATTTCAGGTATGCTGTAACCAGAAGAACAAAACATGCTTAAAAATCATCTTTTATTTTGAAGAGAAAGAGAGAGGGGGGTTCATATTACCTATCAATTTCCTTTGACAATGCCTTTATCTTCTTAGCTTCTGCTTCTTTTTTCAGTTGTTCTTTCCGCCTAGCTCTCTTATTCAATTCAACTTTAGTTACTCTCTTTGTTTTAATAGGCCTGTCCCATCATTATTGAAACAATATGCATACATCAGATATTTAGAAATTAATGGTTAAGAAAAAAAAAATGCTATACACTTGTATTAGATGCAAAAGCACCGTGTAGATATAATGCAGTGTTCAAAAAGAGATTATGTAAGAATTAAATAACATTTACACAATGTTTATTCCAAAAATAGTAATTTGTTCTCCATAAGTAAAAAATATATTATTCATATTAAAATTTTTAATTAACATTGGCAAGATCAACTATTCAGTGAATATTAAAGACCACAATTATAAGATTACGAATTCAATAAATACTTAAAACAATCATTAAAATGCATTAGAATGTCTAAATTCATATTCAACACAAAAGAATGACTAGAGGAGAAAGAGAAACAATAAAACAAAATGTTGCTGCCAAAAAAATATAATATGGGGAAAAACGTCATTAAGTTAATAAACAGTATATAAACAAAGTAAGGGTAATTAATATTTAGGATAGCAGATAGCTCACTTTTTCTCTAATGCAGCATCTTCATTTTCAAGAGTACTTTCTTCATTGTCACTCCCACCATCCACATCAAGAAAATACATCTGCCAAAAAAGTAAATTATTGAAACATCGTGACAAATGACAGAAGCCATACAAATTCAAGTACTTAAGAGCTTAATAAATAAGGCATATTTCACCCTCCAATAATTATATAAATGAAGAGAATGAGACTCACATCTTCTTCAGCAATAGCTTCTCCAGGAACAGTTAATGGCACTGGTTCAGGGCCCAATTCATTTTTGTAGATTTTTTGCATTTCTTCAGCTACAGCAGAAGCTAAGGTATCCTGGTGACTTTCATACGAGGGATTGAAAGAACAACCTGGGGGGTCAACCTCTACTGCTGGAATAAGAGTAGGCTTTGCTACCTGTTAAGCATGTAGCCATCATTTTATCAACTAGAAGATTAAAGTGCAGCAAATATGAAATGCAATATGATATCCACTGATCAGAATCCACACTGCTTTAAAATATACCTTTTTCACCTTCTTGTTATCCTCACCTGCATTACAATATCAAAGAATATTGTGTTTAACATCCCATAATTAACACAAAAAGTAAACCAAAACATTAAAACAATAAACATACAAGGTACCTTTATCCCCCCATAGATCAAACACAGAAGAATCATCCTGAAAAAGATCAGCAGAGACAATAAATGTTAATGAAACGAATTTTAAACAAGGTTCAAGATGAAAATGAAAAAAAAGAAGTAACTGCTCATTTTGTCCAAATAGTATTGCAGCTGAGCATTCATTCTGTTATTAGCAATCCCTACTACTACTCCATCCTTTCTGCATTAACTCACAACTTACTAACCTTATCACCATCTTGATTGACCTCTTTCTTGTTAGACACCACAGAACGATTCTTAGAACACTTCTTCAGAATAGAAGATGGCACTGGCTTAACAAACTGGTTTTTCTGTAGCAAACTATCACAATGGAGCACTCTCTCCCTGTGCTTTTCAATCTTCTTCTTCACCGCAAGATCTAAAAGTTTAGTCACATCATCAAATTAGGCAAACACCATCGTATTCAAGGACCGATAAGAATTCAAAGTCGCCAACAAAAATAAAAACCAGGCGATACAGTTTTTTCTATACCAAACAAGAACATTAAAAAGACAGTCTAGTACTCTACGATGCAACCAGAATATCCAAATAACTGTTATGGGTTATTTCCACATTAATTTTTTTTTTAAAAAAATCATACACTGACACAAGCTTATCTATATCATGGTAACACACGATTAATTGTAATTGACCATCTTTCACTTTCTTTTTTTTTTGTTTTACATATTTAACACATCACCACTCACCTCAAACTAGTTATCAAAAACATAATTTTCGGATACAAGCTAATACTTACGATAAAAATAAAAACGTACCCAGAAAAGAGTAAGAGATAAAGGAATTACCTTTGGACTTGTCTTCGTAAAAGAGGGAATCACTAGAAAGGGCTTGGAGAGAGCCACCAGAAAGAGCGTCCTTCGTTGATTTCTCAAAGAAATCTTCGATCTCTTCGGTGCTGATGTTAGCCCTCCATGCCTTCTTACCCTTCCTTGACCCTTTTGCTTTCTTCCCCATGCTCACACCAATGCCTATGATTTCACTTCAAGTGTTTGCTGATTTCAAGAGAAAAGGGTTTTCTGCGAATAACAACAACGACCCTTGTTGGCGGCAGAATAAGGTTGTTTTATGTTATGCAGAAGTGATGTATATTTCCGGGCTCGGGCTCCTCTAAATGGGCCTCAAAATAAGTCCAGCCCGTGGCTGAAGAAAGTTGTTTTAAGGAGTTACTATTCACACTCCCTCACGTTACTAATACACTTCATTTATAATTCTTTATCATAAAATACCCAAAAAATTAACCTTTATCAAATATAAGGGTTTTAGGTTTTTTTATCGAGAAGATACCATAAAATAAGATAATTATCTATTTTTGTTAAAATTTGTTGTTTGTTATGTTATTACGGAATATGATGATTTTATTTTATTTTAATTTGATGTATTTTTTTTTTATTATGAGAAAGGAATTGAATAGTTAGTAATAAGATAAAATATGTTTACTTGTTTATATTTATATTTAATCTTTATTATAAGACATTTTTAATTTAATTGTATAGATCGATATAAGAAGTTTTCTTAATTAATTTTGTTGCATTTATAACATAAAATCATAATATATCAATTTTACATTTTTTATTTATTAATCGATTTTTCACAACAAAGGTGAAGACTTCATATCAAAATTTATACCAACTACAATTAAAAAGTTTAAAAGGAAAGGACAATAATATTTATTTATTATATTTTTTTCTCATTATCTAATAACATAAACACAAATTCTCATCATCTTTAATAGAAGTAAAAGAAGAAAAAATAAAATTAATATTTTATAAAAATTTTAAAATCCTCCCTTTCATTTTTAAATATAAACAAAAAAGATTGTTTACATTGTTTAATTTTGCTTATCTCATCTTAAAAATAACTTAATTTTTCTAAATTATCATTCGTTGAGACTTGATATCAAAAAATATATAAAAATACTAAAAATATATCAATTAAATGAAAGAGTATTTTAGAGAGGACAACATTAAATAAAGTCAAAATAGTTAAAAATTGTTTATATTTAAAACCAATAAATATGAACCTTTCTTTTTTCTTCTTCTTATAACTTATAAAAATAATCATCATTTCTTTCTACATCGTAATATTATATTATATTATATTATACAAAATAGAAAAATATATATAATAATATAAAATATATAACATCAAATATTAATTAATAGAATATACAAATATATATATATATATGAATTAAATTAATCCCTATGATTTATACAAATTAGTATTTTAGTATATTTATTTTATAGGTTAACTATTTATTATATATAATTAAATTTTGCATAATCTATATTATTAAATATATGAATTAATCATTGGATATTAAACATAATCAACTATTTTATGAAAAGATATTTTTAGAGACTATTATTTAACAAGAACTTTATTAAAAACTTCTTTAATTTTCTATTTAATTCATTTTTTTTCATGTATATTATCTATTTATGTACCAGATTTCAATGCTTTAAAATAGATTATCAGTAATTTAAAATATTTACTTATATAATTTTTAAATATAACTTATATATATATTTAAATATAGTATTTTATTATATATAATTTATTATAAATTTTAATTATATATACTGAATATTTAACCTGTAAAGTTCATAGATTAAAATATTAGTTACATTTTATACTTAAAATAAGTAATTAGTATTATGACATGAATTTATTTTTAATTATTAATATTTTATTTTAAAAATTAAAATTTAACTTATAAATAAATATAATAAATAAAAAATTGAATTAGATAAAAAATTTAAAAAAAATCTCTAAAAATACTCATATAAGAAAATAACTCCTTAAAAGGCTTTTACACAAAATAATCAGCTCTTCATATTTAGTATGCAGTTGTTGATTTATAATATATATTACAATATTTGCATTCATCATTTTATCTTATATACAATTATAATAATTTTGATATGTAAATTTAAAATATATTATTAACTAAAATAAAAAATATTAATTAAATAAATTTTTAGAAAATGTTTAAATTTTTTATTTAAAAAAAATATTGTACAGTTTTTTTACAATTTTAATAAAATTATATTATAAATAATTGTATACTATATAGTAAAAATTATATTTATAATTTTAATAAAAATAAATAAAATAAATTTTAGTTATAGAGATTAAACGATAAAATTTAGAGAAAAAAGAATTGAAGGAAAATAATTTATAGGAGTAGAAAAATAGAGGAAGTGATTGATATTTGATATTTGATATGAAGTGGAAAGAAAAAGGGAAGTAATTGATTCCCCTAATTAACGGCTTAGATTATTAATTGATTTATGTAAGATGTGGGTCACATGGCAGACCATGTAGCAACCACTTTAGCATCCTATCTATCAATGGTCCCACATTCTTCAATCAATCTAATGCGACCATCTATCATCATTCATTTCGCCACCTTCCACTCCCTTCTCCTGTTTCAATGGATTAAGATTCCAATAAATAAAACTGATTATTGCTATTCTTTATTATATGCTCAAAAATGCAAACTATAAAATTATGAATAAGATTCCTCAGAGAATAAATATAAACCTGAAGATATCAAGCAAATTATACAAACATCCTATTATTAGATGGATTCTAACAAGTTCGAGTAATATAAGAGACATAAATAAACAGGTAAAATATTTTTCTTATCTTGCTCATAATAATTTCGTCTTGTTTGAACAAAATTAATTTTTAAAAAAATATGTGCGTGATCTGTAAAATAGAATGGTAAAAAAGTGAATAAAATTCTGAAACGGGAGGCTACAACAGGATAAAAAAAGCTATTAAAAAAAAGAAAAGAAAAGAAAAAAAGTTGAGAATCGAAGATCCTAGTTTAAAAGCAGGTGTTGTAATGTAAACAAAAGAATGGTTGTGTTCCTTTGATGTCCGAATTTACCTGAAAAAGGTGGCATGAAAATATCCGGCGGTTACATTGCAAAATGATTACATACACAGACACTCATTTATTACTCCTCACTCACTCTCCCCACATGCCATAACCATCCATACCACCCAATCCAATCCAACAAATACAATGGCCGCAGCCTTGGAGTGCTGGTCCAGCCGCGCCACCACCGCCGCCGCCGATGACGACGCCGTGGAGCAGGTCCTCATGCGCACCCACCACAGATCCGAAGGCACCGCCACCCCCAAAGACCCCTCCTCCCTCCCTGTCCACAAGAAGCTCCAGAAGCTCACTCGCAACGTCTCCGAAGCCATAGCTTCCTTCAAAAACTCCCTCAACCTCGATTCCCCTCCTTCCTCCAAAGCCGACGCTTCCTCCAGAAAACTCGCCTGGGGCACCGTCGTTCGCAACCTCACTCAGCTCTACCCCGGAAGCCAGTTGCCGGAGAAGCTCATGTCCAACATTCGCAAGCATTATGATTCATTGCCTCTCAGGTCCTTCAACAATGCCATCCAAACTCTTCTATGAATTAGCCCCTCTACTTCCTTCGTTCCTTCGCACGTGTAATTGCAATATTATGTGTTGTAGAAGCTCTGCAATTGCATAAGGAAATCTGCGTAGTGGGTGGAGAGAATGAAAGCTTCAATATTTCAACTAAATTGAAATTGGGTTGTTTTTTAAAGCTTGATGCTTGTCACCCATCTTGTCAAGTTTGAATCTTTTCATGCCAATGCTTGATTTTAATTTCAACCTTTTGTTTTTCCCTCATGGGTTTTACTTTTTTTCATGCTGCACTCTCTCATGTTGGCTCCTTTAGCTTTAAACATTTTTTAGAAAAAGGAAGAACAAACGTGGGTTGTGGAATCGTAGCTGTGTATTATTATTTTTTTTGGTTGTTATTTTGGAAAGATGTTTGATTTGGATTTTTTTTTTGCAGTTATGCACAGGCTGAGTTTGATATGAAGGATGTGTTTCTTCACATAAAGCTGATGGAGCAAGCTTCGGAGAGTGAGCAGCCTGCGATTTTGATCCAAGAGGAGTGTGATGATGAGGCTCAGGTTCAGGGTTCTCCTTTGAGGCTCACGTTTGCTTGCAACTCTCCGATTTCGTGGCCTGCGATGTCGGGTGCGTTGGATAGTTCCTCCATTTGCTGCAAGAGGATGCAGATCTTTGAGAAGAAGGGTTTCACCTTGGGGGTTGTGCTTCTTGTGGTTCAGTCTGGGCATGATAAGTTGGTGAGGACCAGGGTTGAAAATGCTTTGAAGTTTGCCATGAAGAGGTCCAAAACTGGTTCTGTGAAGCTCCCCTTTGGGCTCTGTGGGTGCCAGGAGGAGAATTCTAAAGGGAGAGAGCTTGGGGAGATTGAAGAAGAAGCCGGTGATGGTTGCCGCGGAAAGGAGTTTGAGAATTCAGGCCAAAGGATTCAGCTTCAGGTGCCTTTGCCTTCTTCATGTTTTGTTGTGTCAGTGGATGAATGGCAGACCATAAAGTCAGGTGGGGATGAGATTGAGAAATGGTTGTTGAACTCAGATAGTGTTGAGTTTGTGGAGCAGATTGGACCTAATTCGTATAAGGGAGTGTATATGGGGAAGAGGGTTGGGATTGAGAAGCTAAAGGGGTGTGATAAAGGGAATTCTTACGAGTTTGAGCTTCATAAAGATCTGCTGGAACTGATGACTTGTGGTCATAGAAACATTCTGCAGTTCTGTGGTATTTGTGTGGATGATAATCATGGGTTTTGTGTGGTGACCAAGTTCATGGAAGGTGGGTCTGTTCATGACTTGATGTTGAAGAACAAGAAGCTTCAGAATAAGGATATTGTGAGGATTGCTGTTGATGTGGCCGAAGGGATGAAGTTTATGAATGATCACGGTGTTGCATATAGAGACCTTAACACACAGAGGATTCTGTTGGATAGGCATGGGAATGCTTGCTTGGGAGACATGGGCATAGTCACTGCCTGCAAGAGTGTTGGAGAAGCAATGGAGTATGAAACTGATGGTTATAGGTGGCTAGCTCCAGAGGTTTGTCCCTATTCATTCACACTTGTTTTATGTTAGCAAAATACTTGTTGCAATTAAGCAAAATTGTGTCACACGAATATGTTCCTTAGTCATATGTAGTTCTGTATTGCCTTTGCCAGGCATAGTCAGAAATATTCTCCAGCTGACCAGCTTTTTCTTTATAAGAAAATAAAAGTGAAGAATAGGATCACAATTTGGTATCTATCCCTTTTAAAGATAGTGTCCCTCCTTCTCTATAGTTTGACACCTAAACCTACACACCTAATCTAAATCCCCATGGCTTTTAGGTAAGATATAGTGGATGAGAATGTGTTTTATGCTTTTTAGTTTTTACCTGCTCCTCCAGAAAATCTTGTGACACGTAATGTTATGCTTCTAAACATGGGGGTGCAAAAGTACTTATGCTCCTACCCTATGGTCATGCATGGATTCGCTATATGCATCCTCAATTCATAAAAATTTCCATATGCACCTTTATTCTCATTGATTTGGTTAAATGTATATACGACTTTTGCACAAATTATAAATAATGAAAAGGCTAATTCTCTACAGAATGGAAAAGAAAAAAAATATTGTTTGCTTGGTGTACTCCTCCTGGAATTTTAGAACTTTACCAAGCACCAATCAACGAGCACTGTAGCACCTAGTATTCAAACATTGGCTAGGACCTTTTTCTTTACCCCTTCTTACGCTGAAAAAGCACATTTTGTCTAGCAGCCTAACACTAATGAAGTTTCTTAAAACATTTCATTTTATCTTGCATATGTTCAAGGAAGAATGGCAGATATGTTGATTGTAAATAATGTTTTAGCAACAGTATTGTATAGGAATAGGATCAAACTGTAATTTGAATTTTCTTCTCTCTCTGCCTAGTTTCTCTGTTTGTCCTCATATACACTGGCTAGTTCGGTGACAAATTCCAGTCTAAAGCGTTTTAGCTCTTTCATCTTTTTTGTCTGTTCTTCGTGTTTCAGTACACTTTGAAAATGACATACTAGATGTTCAACTGGAGAGCAATTTAGAGTAACTTTTGTGAGCTTTATTGTCTCAAAAATTGCTGTTTAGATCCATTGTATGTAAAGAAATGCTGAACTAGGCTACATTTAAAAGAAACTTTATGTCACTTGTCCTGGCATGATTGTTTGAGCATGCCTAACATGTCTTAATAATTGTTTCCTTGCTTTCACTTTATTGTGTTTACCTTTATTTAAGCACTCGTGTATATCATTAGGAAAATAAGTGTGCTTGTGTAATGCCAATTATACCAGAATTAATTCCGTGCTGGAGCCCGCATGTCTTAAGGCTTTAAGCCTTTAACATGATCTTTGCCCCAGTACTCTAGTTATTTGTCCTACTGATAAAGGTACTCAGAAATCCCTCACACCTCGTGTGCAGGCAGAAAAAAACATACAAAAGCTATCCTCTAAAGCCATTCGTTCAAAGAGAAAAAGTGCTAACTGAATAGAAAGACATGTCAAAATTTTCACTCACGAGTGATTATTTGGTTGTTGAGAATAAACAAGTTGGTTTTCATGCTTTATTAGCAAGTCTAGCAAGAGAAAATTTCGTAACACATTTCACGTGTGTAGGTGACAAACATCCATTTTGTGTGAGATGACATGCTGCTACTGGAATCGATGTGTGTAGTTACTAATGTGTGCTTATGAAATGTATCTAGTCTCTTTTTTATCTTTTGTTGTGCATGTTATTCTCTTTGATGAATGAAAACTGGTGATGGATTATATGTTGTAGATTTGAACTTGTGAAAGGATTTATTAATCGAGTTTAATTTCTGCACAATCAGTGTAAATACTATTTAGTCTTAATAATTTTCCTTGTAATATGATCGGTTTGGATAGGAGAGAAAATACGGATGACAATATATTTTCTTATGTTTGACTAAATAAAAAATAGAAGAAAAAAAATATTCAAACTTTTCTTAGTTTTGGTTTTTTAATAGATCTTTTTTCTTTTTCTTTCAAATATGATACTAGTTACATTGACCTTGTGCTAACTAGTTTTACTTTTTTTTGTTGGGGTGAGAATAGATAATTGCAGGGGATCCAGAGAATGTGACAGAGACATGGATGAGTAATGTTTATAGTTTTGGAATGGTAATTTGGGAGATGGTAACTGGTGAAGCAGCTTATTCTTCATTTTCACCGGTGCAAGCTGCAGTGGGCATTGCGGCATGTGGCCTTAGACCTGAAATTCCAAAAGACTGCCAACAAACTCTAAAATACATTATGACAAAGTGCTGGAACAACACCCCTTCAAAACGCCCTCAGTTCTCTGAAATTTTAGCCATATTGCTACGACCAAACAATAGATAAACATCTATATATAACTAGTTCATGGACAAGAAAATGATAACAAGTCCATGGCTAAACATGATTCCACATATGCTTTTATGGCAGTAACGAAGTTGTAAATTTTCTGCTTTCCACAATCTTGTATCATCTCTTAATGACATCATAAAATTCCAAATGTCTTTGTCATCATAATTATGCTGTTTTCCCTTTTAAGATTCAGTAAATACAATGGACAAAAATTAAGCACCGTAATTTAAATAATAAAAGTTGACACAACACTAATTATTACCTTCAAGTTTTGTACTATTACAATAGTCTTTACATTTATGAGGGGTAACTATCTAGGAACATATTAATGTTGTGAAAACTAGGACAATGTTTGAGGAATAAAAAAGCCAACAGATGACACGTTTTTGGGGCATGTCAGTGGCCATCTTGTTGGCTCTTCCTTTGTTTGTTCCGCTGTGGCTATGTCAAGGGTATCATGAAAGGGGTCCCATTTGATTTTGTGTTTCTTTAGTGGTGAAATAATCCAACCCTTTCAGCAATGAAGTGACGTGTTCCTGTTTGTGCCGGGCACAGTGATATTTACACATATCTGTCAGTCTTCTATTAATTTACTATTGACGACGAATGAAAGGCGAGGATGAAACGTGTTTGTTTCGAGAGAAATATGAAGAAAGAAAAGCGAAGAAAAGCAGGAGAGGTGTACGAAAGGTTCTTCGATAAACCATGAAGAAAAGCGAAGAAAGTCATGTTAGTTGGCAACGATTGAAAAACGTGGTTACCCTTCTGAAAATTACGTGCATAATCGATTATGTGTCATATTTTCGCTTCCAGACGTTCCCAGAACGGGCCGTTCTAATTTTGGAACGGCCCATTCCAAACTATAAAAACAAGGGTAAACTAGTAAATTAGCTTAAAAATCATACTTGAGAACGGGCCGTTCCAGTTTCTTAAAAAAGCTAAACATTTCTTAATTTTTTAATTGGTAAAAATTAACTTGTACAATTTATTTGCGAAAAATAATTTATAGATATTTCTTATAAATTTTGCTACAATTTTAATAATCATAGAAATTTTTTTCCATGGTAAAAATTTGCATAAAATATTGTAAGAATTTTATTTTTTTTCTTGTAGATTTTATTGCAAAAATAAATTCGCAAGTAATGTTTACTAAATGGTAGAAAAATTTTGCAGGTAATTTTTCTTGAGGATTTTCCTGCAAATTTTAATTCGCAAGAAAAATAAAAAA